AAGCCACTGGGTCTGGAACTAGACCCACAGTTGTCCGTGTGGGATCTAGCACTTTATCCTCCATGCCACCGGCTGGCTCCCATCAGGAATTTCTAATTGGGGGAGGGACTTTTGGAGATTAGGGTTGCATACTTGTTCTCGTTCAAAAAATATAGGTGGAGGGCTCTCAGGTGGCATGGTAGTTAAGGTGCTGGACTCCCACATGAATGACCATGGTTCAAATCCCAGACCTAGTGGCTTGCTTTCTCACTTTTCCTCTCTCTCTGGTCAAATTTAAAAAATATAATAAATAAAATAAAATAATTATTTTAAAAACAATGGAAACATGCTTTTCTGTTCCATAGTATGCATTTAAAATGCCTATTTTCATTATTATTTGGTTAGGGAAATAAAATTTAACAAACTAAAACAAATCATTCAGACCATGTGAAAAACTTATATCAATAATGTAATGAGGAAGACAATCAAACATAGAAATTCTTGTTAAATGTCCCAACCAACAAAAGATTTCTATGGAGGGATGCCACTTATACAACTTCTAAATAGATTCAAGACAATATTTACCATGACACAGAAAGGCAAAGGTTTAGAGAGGGGTTGCTGAATTTCTGGTTACTCAGTACAGTGATAGCAGCTTACATCTGTTTAGCACATTAAAACTGACAAAACCCTTTTAAGTAACATCTTATTTCATTCTTCCAACAACGACAGCAGGTTTTTTTTTGTTTTGTTTTGTTTTTGTTTTGCTTTGTTTTGTTTTAACCAAAGGGCACATACACTTGCCACAGAAAGACAGACAGACAGACAGACAGAGAGAGGGAGGAAGCACCCGGCAATGGGGCATGGACATACAATCGCTTCCTCTTCATGTCTCCATTCTGTTGGATTGGAGGAAACATGCACATGTGTCCAGTCATGTTTTTAAGCCACCATGGCTGGAATTCGAATGACATCCAGCCATGTCAGGTCAGGCTCCCTGAACCACTAGGCTACAGAGCCAGCCCAAAAATGGGTTTTAGCAAGAAAAGATTTTAAGACCAGTAAATAAAACAGTTTCCCAAGAGCATTCAGAATGGTGTGGCCAGCCTTCAAATCCTGATCAAATGAAATACAATGTTCTCTTTACTATAAATGGAAATATCGCTGAGCACATATTAACTCAGGCTGTTGGAAAGGAAAAAGACTTCCAAATTATTGTTTTAGGCTAACAGAGTACTTAAAAATAAACTTAAGATGTTCACGCCAATGTTTAAAAAAAGCCACAGTTGAACTTGCAAAGGGAGAATTGACAACTAACCCTCCTGTACACCAGCGATGGTGGTCAGTCTTCCCTCTCGTTTCACTTCATCTCTGCTTTAAATGACTGGGTCAGACTACATGTGACTGAAGCCTTTCATGTCACCAGTTTAATTTAATTCAATAAACTTACATCAGATGGTGTCATGGTTACATCACTGGACTCCTGCATAGTTGACTGTAGTTCGAGTCCCAGTGGCTTAAAACTCACAACAGGGTGTATGTGTATGTGTGCCCAAGATCCTGAAAGGAGAATGGAAGAGAAGGGGCTGTGGTGTGGCCATCCCCTCACCCTCCGCAGGGTGATTTCTTACTTTCTGCCTCTCTGTCTCTTCAGCGAGCACACATGCCCCACAGCTAAAATCTCTCTAAGAGCAAAACAAAGCAAAACAAAAACCCCACTTTGAGCCAGGAATAATGGCAAGGACTAGAAGCACATGAAAATATAGTCTGTCCTGGAGAAGCCTGAGGGTCAGAGAACCAAATATACAGAAGAAAAACACACAGAGCACAGTGGGAAGTACAGATCAGAACTAACAGAGGGGGGGTGACCTCTGAACCAAATCTTGAAGATAAATTATACCTTAACACCTGCAAGTAGTCAAACGATGATAGTCCTGTCCTTACACTATTTAAATAAATTATACTAATAATTATGTTTAACAAAATATATGTAAAATGAAGCTATAAAAACTGGAGCAAATTAAATATCCTTCAGTGTCATTAAGTAGTATACCACAATAAAAATCAGTAAGAAGTGACTGCCTAACAATACTAATAAAGTCCATCGAGGCCCAGCCAAGGTGGCACAAGTGGGAGAGCATCGCTGCATGATGGCGGAGACTCATGGGAGACTCAGGCTTTGTTCCCATCCGAACAGGACAGCCGGGGAGGCCCATGCCTATAGTCCTAGCTAACTGGGAGCTGGGGCAGGGTAATACCAGCGTAGCAAGATTCTGTCAAAACTACCCAGCCCTTGGGACCAGGTGTTAGCGTAATGGCTATGTCGCTGGACTCCCACGTAGTCGACCATGGTTCGAGTCCCGGACCCGGTGGCTTGAACTCACGCTGGACGCGTGTGCGTGAGTGCCCAAGATCCCAAGAGGAGAATGGAGGAGAAGGGATTGTGGCGTGGCCACCCCCCCTGGGGGATGATTTCCTGCTTTCTGTCTCTCTCTCTCTCTCTGTCTGGGGAGCGCACGCACCCTATAGCAAAAACCTCTCAAAAAAAAAAAAAAAACAAAACTACCCAGCCCTCCATCCCTCTCTCCTCGGTTCTCCCTTTGATTCCTTCTCACGCATACTCTTTCTCTCGCTTGTTAAAAAGAAAGTCAGACTGGCCCCATGGTTTAGTG